GGCAAGGTATGCAGGACATAAGAATTGGAAAATTATTTGCTGAGAACATGTATGTTGATGTGCTTGACTGAGCCAATGCACAGTGTATTTTGGATGGAAAATTCATTTGTGTGTTGTGATGGTATATAGTGAATTAATGTAGAAAATGAATAAATTTAAAATAAAAAAAAAAGGGGCAGGTCTGTCTGCCTGTAATTAGTGCTGAAAACTGGAAGCCAGCCACCAAAACCGACCAAGTAATCCAGTCCCTCATAGCACTGGTGAACGACCCCCAGCCCGAGCACCCCCTCCGGGTTGACCTAGCTGAAGAATACTCTAAGGACCCTAAAAAATTCTGTAAGAACTCTGAAGAGTTTACAAAGACATATGGGGAAAAGCAACCTGTGGACTAAAATCTGCCACAGTTGATTCCAGCAAGTGTGAGCAGAGACCCCGAGCAGTGCATCAGATACCCCGCAAGGCAGGACTCTGTGGAAAATTGACACGCCTCCTGGTGTTCACTTGTGGCAGTTACTAACTTTCTACAGTTTTCTTAATCAAAAGTGGTCTAGGTAACCTGTAAAGAAAGGATTAAAAATTTAAGATGTTCTAAAAAACAAACAAACAAACAAACCCCATGATATGTAATATGTGTATACAATTTTTATATGTAATATATACACTGATGTATGTATTTTAAGTTTATTTGTTCATTTCTTCCTTTTAAAAAATGATTATCTTATCTTAAAAACAAACAAACAAACAAATGTAACACTGTTAGCAACAACCCACACTCTGATTCAAACTGTTTTCCCAGTTGCTGTGCTCTCTGTCTTCCCCATATCTTCCTGCAGCCCCTAGTCCCCCTGAGAGTCTGCTTGCCATTGCCCCTGACGTGGTACTAACACCAGCTGCCTCAGGAATATAAGAAAAGAAAAAGAGGGAACCAAAGCAGCTCTTCAGGGCTTCCCCCAGGATAGAGGGAAGCCAGTAGACTTGGATCATCTTGCAATGTTTTGCTGCAAGAAAGCCAGGCCAGAAACATCTGATGGTATCAGATTTAGATGTCAAAATGTAGACACCATTAATAATTTATGCCATTTATGCTCACTAAGGAGCATCAGAGCTTATTAGGAGACCTTGGAAGCATCATAACGCAGGCATATAAATCGTATGAAATCTTGGCATAGCCAACAGGCATCCGAAACAGAAACACTATAGTGAAATTTAACTTCTGTTGCCCAACTAGTTCTTTTTTTAATCTGAACCTAAAAATGTTTCTTTTAATAATACATATTATTAGTAGTAGATTTTGGGATGAATCATCTCCCTTACTTGCTCCCCAAAACAAAAGCATCAAGGTAGTTGTTTGGCATATTCCCATGCATCACCATTAACATCAAAGTGAACCTTGCATTATTCAAAAGATTGTGTGTTACAGGCAGTTCCCAGTTCAAAAACAGATTTTGTTTACAAAATCTCATTT